CAAGGAAGGAACCTGCTGCGTTGCCTCCCGCCTGTCCTCTGAATTTCCTGCAGGGATTGCCAGTTGGAGTTGTGAAAACCTGTCCACGAAGGACTCGGCTTTCCCAGGCTTTGCTCCTATTCACCAAGCGTTCCCTTCACAAGCAGGTCTGCTGGTCCACTTTCCCAACTATCTTGTCTTAAAAGAAATGTTCTTTTCCATATGTAAGCAAGTCAAACTTGCTTATGCAGTGAAGCACCATGCAGGTATCTTCTTTGATATGCTTTTAATCTCTGCTGGCAACACTGACGGTACATAGGAGACCACTTTAAGTCAAGCAGAGTCTCTACGCTCACCTTAACTCTGTTTCAAAGCACCACTTCGAAATGTAAAGAGACATGATCAAAACAGGTCAGCAACTCCTTTGCCCTCACACCTCTGACATCTATCCCTGGGCACAGCCTTAGTTTTATAAAATCTTGAGAAGGCCAGCTCAACGTAAAGGTGATTTGTCAAGACAATCAGAAGGAAAGCAGCACCACTAACCGTTCGTGCTGCTCTGTCCCAACATTTCTCAGCACACAGAGCGAAGCTGAGTGGGAAGAAGAGAACGAGTAGTGGTCTACCAGGAGCAAAGCACCTTGGCTGCTTGAAGCTACTGCAAGCTCTTGGCAGACAATAAAACAGGCTCAGAAGAGTGACTCAGGCCTTCAAGGGGGGGGAAAGGTGGATGAGATCAAACAGCACCAGGAAGGAAAAAGGCTATTAGGCCAGGAGGAGGAGAAGGGAGGGGAGGCATGTGCAGCTGAGAGAGGCACCGCTGACAAGTGACCTGCCTGTCTGAAGGCGACTCCAAACGCCCCCCCCAGCAGAGCAGCAGGGCCCGGCACCCAGGCAAACTGGTTGTGCACGTCGTTGATGAGGTGGGCAGTAAGCCAGCAGTTCTTCAGCTGCAAGGGGTGTGTACACCTGCACGGAGAGAGTATGCCTGCAGAAGATACATTTGGGAGCAGAAGTCTTAAGAACTGCTAAATACAGTCCAAGGATATTTACTTTGGGTTTTTTTTGGCTTCCTTACACCATGTAAACTCCTTGGTCATTCAAAGTTCATATACAGAAGAGGTGAAGTACTAGAAAAAGCCAAACAAAACTAATGCATTCTTCTACATCCAACAAGGCAGATACTGGTGCGCAATTTTCTGAAATTAGTAGATTACACCTGTTGCACGTTCACAAATAGCAAAAACGTATTAGATTGCAACATTTTCAAAATATTTGAGATTTAAAGCATCTTCCACTCCTCAACTGGTGTTTGCACAGCAATACTGTATCGCCCCCAGTTTTTCCTACAGTATGTAGCACGAAATTGCCCAAATTGAGATCCCTGCAAATAACAAAGAACATAATGCATGAACTACTTCTCATAGTATGTTTCTACTTGTTTCTACCCTGCAAGAAAGGCATCAGGACATTGAAATTTTGTACTTCTTTGGGTCAGTTAGCAGACAAAACTTCCTGTGGAAATGTTCACTAACACTGCTGCTCACAGTTGAAACCTGTAACAGAGATACCATGATCTTTCCCCAAAAACAATACTACAGATACTTAAAACAGGGAGTAACCCAACATCTGAATGGCATATTCATCTGTTTCAGGACAATTTTCTCTACACATTGGTAAGAACTTCCAAACAATTAGGTAGGCATTTGTATGATGAACAGGTCTAAGTTGATTCTAATCATTGTTTTAAATCTGCAGGTATTAGAGTTCTAGACATTTTATCATGGACGTGGTGTTTGTATTTAGTCAGTCCCAGTCTTTTGAGGGCCTGTTCCAGTTCCTTTCGTATTTAGGCAAGTGCCCACATTTTTGGTGGGGTACAGTAATCAAGATTAGTGGACTAGCGAATAATAACATGGAAAGCCAACGCTCATCCAGCCCGACTTTGTTCTGCACAACTGACCTTGCCACCCTCTACATCCACAGCCCCAGACTGGGCACGTCAGGAAGCGGTCAGAGCAGCAGGGCGCTTGGCATCACTTCAGTCAATCAGACAGCAGCAGCAATTGATCCTGTATGAACAGCTCATAGCAAAGTTATCTACATGCTTAGAGAAGATATTCATTAAAGATTATTTTTTATAATTTTTGAAAACCAAATTTGTACCTTCACCTACATGGTCCAGGGAAAGCAGCTTTCTACGTATTAGCATAACCACCAGATGAGTACGTCATTGCCCATATTGCTTGTTTATATCACTTCAGCATCTTGTAGTCTTGAGAATGCACATTTTTAGCTTTATTTTTCTACCCTATATGTTTTCCTTTAGACTTTACATATTTGAATCCTAGTCATTACTTGTTCTTCATGCATAAAACATATTGGAGTTTTACCACTGCAAATTGCAGCTACTAGCACACACAGCAAAAGCGGCACCAGCTAACACCTCATCCACTGAACTGTCAGTCATCTCTCAAGGACTATGTTACAGGCCCTTGGCCTAACCTAAGCAAAAAGGTTGGGCATCTCCAGGTTAAACTGAAAACACCTAGTAAGAGTGTGTCACAGAGAGCAGGATGCCTATCCATGCGAGTAAAAGGGAAAAAAAAATCACCTTTCTTCAACACTGGAGAGGATTTCTTTCAGCTATAAAAAGCCTGAGGTAGGATCTTCATCCTTCTCCCTCTTCTCTTCTTAACTATAAACCCCAATCTTGGGCCAATATAAACACCACAGAAACTTAATATTACTTAAACCATTTTACTCTTTTAGTACTTAGAGATGGCTAATTATTTAAGATGGATGTAAGTGCTTCACATTTAAACACAAGTTCTACACACCGACACCACTGTACAAACTGTCAAAGAAAAAACTAAAAAAAAAAAAAAAAAATCCCAA